GGTGGGGCAGTGGGGGAATAGAGGCAGTAGGGGGGCTGTGGACAGAATAGATGCGCAGAAGGATGTGGGGAGTCGAAGGGGTAATAGGGTGGTGGAGGAGGCTGTGGCTGGGAGAACAGGAGGGGGGAGCTTGGGGTGCAGAGAAGCAGGGGAATAACAATGAGCGGAGTGGGTTGTAAGGGGGAGAGGGGCAGTGGGGAGGCCAGTGGCGTGGCAGTGAGTGGTCAGACTGGAACGCCAGCCCCTGCCCTGTCCCCAGCATCTCCCTGGTGGAGCCTGGCCCAGTGGTCACTGACTTCGAGAGCAAGCTCCTGGAGCAGGTGTCCAAGGCCGAGTTCCCGGGCACCGACGCTGACACCCTGACCTACTTCCGAGACCTCTACCTGCCAGCCTCCAGGGAGCTCTTTAGATCCGTGGGACAGAGTCCACAGGATGTGGCTAAGGTGAGTGGTGGCGCCCAGAGCCCCATGATGTGGGTCCCCTTCTCGCCCAAGCACCCCACCCCAGGTCCTGTGGCTCAGTGCTCCGCCCCACAGGCCATTGTCAAGGTCATCGGCTCCTCCAGACCACCCCTGCGCCGCCAGACCAACACCCGCTACAGTCCCCTGACAGCGCTCAAGTCCCTGAACTCATCCGGCCGTCTATACGTGCTAGTGTCCCACCGTCTGCTCTTCCGCTGGCCGCGTCTCCTCGACTTCAGCATTAGATGCCTCGGCTTGGGCAGCAAGAGAACCCAGGTGCGGCCTGGTGAGCAGCAGTAAGCCTGACCCTACCCGGATTCGAACATACAGAACTCTTCTGTTCATAAGCATCTCTAAAGGACCTGCAGACTTCTCATTCATTCATTCATTCATCGTCCACCTGGTCCCAGACAATGGTTCTCCCCAGACTGTGGTCAGAGAAACACTGGGACCCTGGACTGAAGGTGCGGAAGCCAGAGCTGGAGGGGTGGGGGGTAGGTTTCCTGGAGGAGGGGCCATTGTCATTGGTCCTAGATTATGTTATCTAACTTCATGACCTCATTCTACCTGGCTTGGGAATCCAGCGCAGACTTAGGCACCTCACCCTCTCAATACACAACCAGAACTAGACCAGCCAAGGGGTCTTCCACCTCTTGAGGTCACTCACTTATTTCTCCATTAGAAAAATGTGTTTGACACCGGCAATATAAACATTTTTATTAAATATCTATCTATAAGCACACTAAGATACACGCTCGTGCAAAACTTGGACCGAGAAGAAGCAGTTGCCCAAACAGAGCAAAGGGACACTGCACGGTTTAAAATCAGGAAGTGTGTTGTACCCTGTCTCCATACCTATTCAGTCCATAGCTGAGCAAATAATTTGAGAATCTGGACTCTATGAAGAATGTGCCATCAGGATCAGAGGAAGATTCATCAACAATCTTCTTTATGCACATGACTCAACTTTATTTGCAGAAATGGAAAAATATTTGAAGCACTTACTGAAGATCAAAGAGTACATGCAACCATCAAATATGGGTTACATCTCAACATCAAGAAAGCAAAAATTCCAAAACAACTATGAGATTTCATCTCACCCCAGTGAGAATAGCAAAATTTAACAGAACCGAAAACAGCAAATGCTGGTGAGTGTGTGGAGAAACTGGAACCCTTATTCACTGTTGGTGGGAGTATAAAATGGTGCAACCACTATGGAAGGCTATATGGCGTTTTCTCAAAAAGTTGCAAATACAAATACCATTTGACCAAGCAATTCCACTACTGGGAATTTACCTGAAGAAACCATAACCACCACCTAAGCAGATACATGCACACCCATTTTTATTGCAGCTTTGTTCACAACAGCAAAGAGTTGGAAACAACTCAAGTGCCCATCAAAAAATATATGGATAGAGAAGCTGTGGTATATTCACACAATGGAATACTATGCAGCACTGAAAAACAATGAACTCATGAAATGTTATTTGAAATGGGTAACCCTGGAGGACATTATCCTGAATGAAATATCTCAGTCACAAAAAGACAAATACTGCATGATGCCACTGTTATAGAACGGGACTGACATCGGGGTTGAGGGAAGACAGAGGAGAGGATGAACGATGTATACTGCATTGAAACAGATGAGGGAGAGAACTGTTTAAAAGGGATATATGATTGGGTATTATTGTCATGACAGGAGTACAGAATGAAGGCTGCATAGTGAAGTGGACTTGGGAGGAGGGATTGCATAACAACAAAAGAGTTTTACTTTTCAAGGAGAAGAGTTGATTGGGGGGAGAGAGTGAGCAGGGAGAAAAGTGCAACAATGAATGACTGGAAACCCTAAGTCTCTGTAAACTTTCATTAAAATTAATTTTTTTAAAAAAGGTAAACATTGAAATTCATATGACCCAAATATTCCACTACTTGGAATATACCCTGAGGGGGGAAAAGCCAAAATCCCCACAGCTGGACTAATAGGCAACAGAATGTCAAAAGGAGAAGAGATTGACATTGTCCACAACTTCATTTTACTTGGATTCACAATCAACACCCATGGTAACAGCAATCAGGAAATCACAAGGCATGTTTATAGGAGACATCTACTGTCAAGGACCTCTTTAAAGGGATACAGAGAAAGAATGTCAGTTTAAAGACTAAGGTGCAGCCGAACCAAGTCATAGCATTTTCAATTGCTCCCTATACATACAGAGGTTAAACAATGAGTAGGAAAATGAAAGAAGAATCTATGCCTCTGAATTGTGGTGTTGGCAAGGAGTACTAAATACACAATGGACTGTCAAAAGAACAAGCGCATCTGTCCTGGAGGAGGGACAGTCACGATGCTCCTTTGAGGCAAAGATGGTGAAACTTCATCTCACATACTTTGTTGTAGGAGAGGCTGGTCCCTGGGAGATGTCATGCTAGGAAAGGTTGAGGGTCAGTGAAAGAGGGAGACCCTTAACGAAAGGGACTGACACAGTGATTTTAACAACAGACTGGAGGCTGTGGGGATGGTGCAGGGTAGAGCAAGCTTCAGATCTGCTGTTCTTAGGGTCACTGGAGGCATAGTAGGCTTGATGGCACCTCACAGCAACAACCATAGTTCAGGGAACTCTAGTGGGACAGCCTGTAACGAGCTGTACTGATGGCTCAAAGGACGTGCAACTCCACTGGTTCCAATCCACCAGCCGCTGCAGCACCTCAGGGGAAGAACGGGTAGCCTCCTCCCCTTTTTTACTTAGCGTCTTGGAAGTCCAGCAGAGGGCTGGCAGGCATCAGAATCAATGCGACAGCACAGAAATGTCTTCATTTAACTATTTGTTGTACAGAGGGTCAGTATGAAATAAAACATTAAAAGAGCTCTGGTGGCCTAGTGGCAAGAAGCTGTGCTGCAATCCCAAAGGTGCGCAGTTCTAATCCACCAGATATTCGACTGGAGAAAAAAAGGGGGGGGCAATCTCCTCCTGTGCCAGTCAGATCTGACTCAACAGTACACAACAAGGAAAAGAGAGAGAGAG